CCCCAAAACCCCAAAACCCCAAAACCCCAAAACCCCGTCAAGAGATAAATAATTGAAGATATTTAATAAAAGAAAATATGATTACTTGCAAGGCAGCTGTCGCTGAAGAGGCTAAAAAAGAATTAGTGGTAAAGGAAGTCACAGTAGGACCTCCCCAAGCTGGAGAAGTCAGAGTCAAGATCCTTTACACTGGAGTTTGCCATACTGATGAGTACACTAGATCAGGACTAGACCCTGAAGGACTTTTCCCAAGTATCCTTGGTCATGAAGGAGCTGGGATTGTAGAAAGTATTGGTGAAGGAGTCACTTCTTTGGAAGTAGGAGATCATGTAGTCCCTTTATACATTCCTCAATGCAGAGACTGTGAGTTCTGAAATTCATCAAAAACAAACCTCTGTGGAAAGATTAGATCTACCCAAGGAATTGGAGTGATGCCTGATGGAACTCCAAGGTTTAAAGATAAGGACGGAAACGAGCTCTATCATTTTATGGGAACTAGTACCTTCTGCCAGTACACAGTCTGTCCAGAGATCAGCTTAGCAAAAGTCAACAAAGAAGCTCCATTAGATAAGATCTGCCTTCTAGGATGCGGAATTACAACTGGATATGGAGCAGTTATAAACACCCTAAAGATAGAGGAAGGATCAACAGTTGCTGTTATTGGTCTTGGAGGAGTTGGACTCGCTGCTATTATGGGAGCTCATAAGAGCAAGGCAAGCAAAATCATTGCTGTCGATATTAACCCAGGAAAATTTGAAAGAGCCATCTTGTTTGGAGCCACAGATACTCTAAATCCTCTTGAACAAAAAGGAAAGGAGATGAGTGAGCTCATATTTGAAATGACTGACGGTGTTGGAGTTGACTATTCAATCGAATGTGTTGGAACCCCACACTTGATGAAACAATCTTTCCTTTCTACTAAACCTAACGGAGGAGCAAGCTGCGTCATTGGTGTTGCTGCAGCAGGCCAAACTATCGATCTTAGCTCTGAAGAAGTTATGGGAAGAGAATGGACTGGATCCGCTTTCGGAGGAACTAAGAGCAGAGACCAGGTTCCTGAGCTTGTAGATGATTACATGAAGGGAGACATCAAAGTAGATGAATTCATCACTCATAATTTCCCATTAGATGACATTAACGATGCTTTCCATGCAATGCATGAAGGTAAATGTATCAGAGCCATAGTTAAAATGTTTGATGATGAATAAAAAATCAATAATCGAATCAGCCTACGGGGTTTTGGGGTTTTGGGGTTTTGGGGTTTTGGGGTTTTGGGG